GGCGTTAATGAGCTTATCAAACTCAACAGAATTTATATCCTTCAGTGGTCTATACATTATCCATCTAGGGATGACTTTATCTTTTTTTAAGTGTAGGTTACAAGATATAAATGCATGTTTACTTAAGTCTGGTATGAGATTGACCGATACATTGGATACTTTAGATGTACTACATATTAGATCTATTAGGGTTTCAGAATGGTCTGTAAAGTGAGTAGGTACTGTTACATATTGTGTGAGACTTAAACATTGTAAAAAAATTGCCAGTTTCTTCGTGTTAGGTTCATCTGTGGCCATCATATTTATATTAAAATCCCCCATAATCACTATATGGTCAAACCTGGAAAAAGAGTTTATGGATTCTGTAAGGTTATCTATAAACGAGTCTACATTTAACCAAGGAGGTCTATAGGCAGTGCCTATAGCAAATCGAGACTGATTCAGTGTCAAGCTTAACCAAATTTGCTCAACCGAAGTAGATTGTGGGGGTTTCAACTGCCGTACGTTAATACCATCACGAATATAAAAACCAACCCCACCACCTCGTGAACGAACATGAGAAGGTCGCGCAACATGACGAAGCTTGTATCCCGGCGGCGCTGGTGCACGTTTCTCCTCTCCTTCTTTCAACCAAGTCTCATTTATGGCCATAATATCAACTGAATGGTTCTCCAGCGCGACCAAAAACTCCTCGTGCCGGTTTCCTAGAGACCCAGGATTTAACAAACCAAGTGTCAATAGTTTCCTATTTATGAATTGTAAGACAAAAGAATAGGAAATGAAAATTATTTTGGCATTATTTAAATACTTTTTTACCATAGTATAATGACGTTTATTTACAAAAGTAGAAAAATGAAAATAAAACACTGTTGTCCCTGAGATGATATAGCCAGCAAAATTACCTATACCTGCACCAAAAAATAACACACATACAGCACCATAGGAATATACAAAGCAAAGTAATATTATTATTGGAAAGCTATCAGCAGTAAAATAACAATTTAAATAGCCACATGCCGCAGTCGCAATCAAGCAATAAACAAAGCGGAGTACAAATAGACTAAAAAATGTACATATATTTGAGACCATGATACTTGTAGGCAAACAATGTAGCAAAGAAAAGCGAAGTAACATGGGCGCCGCACTTACAGGATTAGTGTAAACTAGTTTTTCGGAAGCGGTCCAGCGGTTTCCAAACCAAAAACCCCTTCCAGGTCGGCCTGCACACGCAGACGATAACAGGGAACGTCCTGACCAGGGTGTTATCGCGCGAAAATCTTGCCGTCCTTCGTCCAGACGTAACGCCAGCCCAACCGCTTACCAATCTCGCGCGCCCGGCGGAACAGAGAGCGATTGGCGCGGGTCAGCCGCTCATTTATATAGAAGCGGCGAGTCGGCCCAGGCATAACGGCGCCCTCGGTTGATTGCGTACGGCGCACTCGAGCCGCGCGCAGCAGATCATCGCGCATCGCACGCCGCACCAGGCGTACCACAATGGAGCGGGGCCGCGCAGCCACGCTGTCGCCCTCCACGGGCTCCGGGGGGCGTCCCATACGCGTGACGCTGACCACATCCTGTTGTTCGAGCCTCACGCCGATTTCCGCCGCCAAGGTTATGACGACATTCTGGAGACAGTGATTTCGACGTCGTTCAGGAGGCGTTCTTGATCACGATCATTCAACTCCGATTTCAGGGACTCGATTGTATTTTGCAGCGCGCTCTGAGTACTATCAACATGCTCGTCGGCCACACAGCGATTCTCCAGCTTGTCCAGGTGTGACCTGAGTTCACCAATCTCGCCTGTGCATGTTTCTACCTGTGCCACCAAACCAGGAAGCTTCTCGTTGAATTCTTGGACCTGTTTGCGAGTTTCTATCATTTCACTACGAAACATACGAACCTCCTCCACCAGAGTATCCAGTTTCCGCGCTAGAACTGCCAACGCGTCACCAGGCTCAGAGGAAGCAGCCTCAGGGTTCACACCCTCAATTGGGCTTAAAGCGGTGGCACCACGGCGGCGATTGACCTTGTCATCGTGTCCACGAACCGGGGTGTCGCTGTTATCCGTCTTCGGTTCCCGACTTTTACACGCCTCGCATTTCCAATTTAGTCTGTGTTCTCCTGTTAGCGTGTTCCGAAACCGCTGTTCAGAAACGTTGGCGCAGATGATGTCATAATATCCAGAACATAAGCTGCAGCACAAGTATAGTCTATTTTTTATAACTTGCAGACAGCCGGCACAGGTTTTCGAAGCCATTGTGCTTTCGAAGACAAAAAAAAACAAAACTATTATTTTATTTATTAAATTATTAGGATTTAAAATAAATTAATTTTGTGGAAAAAAGTCCTTGTTTGGTATAAAAATAAGTAAAAATATAAAAATTAAAAATGATCTGACTGGGTCTCGAAGCCGGGATAGTGGAGAGTAAACCAGAGTAGTTAGCCGCTGAGCTGTACGTCCTTTAGAACAAATGAAAAAAATTCTGTTTACTATCCAAGAGTGATTAATAGTTTGTATCAGTTGTTTCATCCGAGACTCAAGGCAAATACCAAACAGGACTAACGATCACAGTTTTTAACACAGTTCACCTTCACAGATTTTATAAAAACTATAATATCTTGACAATCACTTCACCGATTTTATTGTTTTATATATGTAAATACGAGAAATCAGTTGGCAAAAAGATTTATTTGCACGTCACAGGTAACGGCATAGGTTTTACTATTTAAATTGGCAATAAACACGGAGCGCAAAATAATACGTTTGAGGTGAACTACCGTACTCCTGGCAATAAACACGGAGCGCAAAATAATAATAATATTTCCCTCAAATACAGTATTTTATTACACGTTGGGCGCCATTTTGTAGCAGTTTCTGCTATCACCTGCCAACTCAGAAGGGGGGCATGAAATTGAAAATTAAATATTTTATATTCAGGGCGCCGTAATACTGATATTTGAGGGAGATAAATAAAAAAATCAATAACCGCAGTGAACAAGATATATATTGTTAATATTCAGATAAATTTTTCAACATATATTAACACTCTTAACATTATTTATTAATATCTTTGTATATCTATATATATTTAGCTTTCACAAAGTTAAGGATTAAGTATTAAAGGTTGTTCACATAATTAATAACATTCCAAGATGTTGTTATTTCTTTTAAGTTAACAATTCTATTAAGATGTGGTTTTACAAACTGATAAACTATGTGCTGTGAAATACAAGTTACTTATTAATGACTTTACAATATATTAATTTAAATACTCCGATATGTTCTAGAAATACATAAATTTTGTTATTCGGAGAATGCACTGGATAAGGATTAAGTAGATTCAGATTTTACTTAGCTTTTTCTTAAGATCTTGGTACCATCAAGTGATTCAGGGGTCCACATGAATCGGAACAGGACATGCTGTCATCACATGAACACGTTTTCTTTCAGGATGGGATTCACAGGCTCATTTTTATATAGGGACTTCTTTATATATATATATCCAAAGAAATTCCAAGCAGGTTTAATCAATTGAATTTTTGTATAATGATTTTATTAGCCTCCTCAAAGGACCTAGAAATAATTACACACACTTCCTATAGTTCAATTAAAAACCTAAATTGACCTACAACCTAACTAGTTAAATATATTGGACTTACCCGTTAATCCGGGGAAAGTATATTAATTAATAATGCACTGACTATAACTGCCAGTCACTGTGCAATTAACTAGATGTTCCAGAGTCCGATCAGCAGACAAGAGAGAGGATGAAATCGTCTGCGCAAAGCTATTTATAGGGGCATAGGGTCACGTGTGTCTGCTAGCAAATTTCTCTCATATCTCCTAATATGGTGCGAGAAAACGTCTGAACCGGTTAAACAGACTCCGCCCATCAAAACTCTTTCCAGAACATTAACTCAATAAAGACCACACGGTTGATCGCCGCACGCCCCGATCGGGGCGCGCTACCCATGGTACTATAAAGCCGTTTTTTTTTTGTGATAGTTATAGCCTACTTTTGTATTAAAAAGTTTAACTATAGATTAAATGGCGAAATGACCTATATAAAAAAAGTTTAAAACCCGAAAGATTAATGCGATAACACATCTAAACGTGTAATCCATTTCACACAGATACACACTAACTCCATCTGTCGTACCTTTCAAATGCAACTATCAAATTCTCTCAATTAGACTTTATTCCGTGCTTGTTTAAGCAGATTACAATATTTGAGGATTTATGTGTATGATGATAGATGGCGTTTTAAATTAATAATATTAGCATGAAATAACTTATAAAATTATGATGCTACAATATATAGGTATATTTATATAGTAATACATAATGAACATCCATGACTACAGTGCAAATGCTCATATTCATCACACAAACATCTGCCCCCACTAGGATTCGAATTCGGGATCTCTCAAGTAGGCGACACCTTGAAACCCGGCGTACAAACCACTCGGCCACGGAGGTCGTCAAAAACAAAAATTGTGAATTGAAGCACGACCAAAAAACGAAATTAAATTTCTTTCTTATGATAAGTTATACGGTTTGCTTTTACTTCATTCTTTAATAAGGCCCGTATTATATATATTATAGAAAGATTCTCAGTAATTAATCTATCCCTTTCTAAGTGTACTCAAGTAAAGATAGTATTTTACATCACTCACAGATCACACTTTAGAAACGCGTTTTTTCTAGGATTTTGCTTAAAAAGGCCGCGAGTGTCTGTCACTGAGTACGGCAACGTCAGCATAATGTGGCGACAGCCAATGTCGGCGTATTTATCGCACTCTTGATCGCAGTTTGCGTGGAACCATTTTTAGCGCAGTTTGCGTTCCATATCATTTCTAATTCGTTGATTATTTCCTATATAATATTCCTATGTAATATCTGTGACAAACGAAGCTTATGTATATTGCTGATACAAGGGTTCCGATAGCATCCTTTCGATCGGAATTCTAAAAATAATTAATATATTTTTTTCTTGCAGAACGCGATATTCGTCGCGTAAGATGGGAAGAAGCCCTTAGCCGAAGTTTGGGTTGGGCCAAAGATAGTAAAGACGTCGAACATGGAATAAAAACAGGTAAATGAAATGGATTACCATGGAAATACTGATGCTGGCATTTCACATAGCTGTTCGTATGTGCTATTTGTAAAGACAGCAGTCTCTCCTTTTCATTCCATATTCATATGGATAAAGCCACTTCTGACAATTGTAATTGGTGCTTGATAACGTAAGTGGTTAGCGCGTTCAGCTGCGATCGTTAAAGTTAAGCAACTTTCGCAGCGATCGATCATCGGATGGGTGACAAAAATTCACTATTTTTAGCTGGAGGCACATTAAAGCGTAGGTCCTGGCTGCATCTGCAGTCGTTAGCACCCACCAATTCACACTGATCCCGCATAGTGGGTCATGGCCCAATCTACAGGGAATGCCTGTGCCCCAGCAGTGTGGACATTTAAATGCTGATGATGATGAATAAGAGGGTTATATAGTTATAACCCCCTAATTCACCAAGGGTAAACCAATGCATCTGTGTCTAAAAGTACGGTAATATTATAATTACGGTATTGTGACTCGGCCCTGTCCTTGAAATAACTGCCTACGGCCGAACGAGGTGTATTCCACGCGGTAGGGCTGCCCGCCTACAGTATTTTAATTTCATAATTGAGTTTCTTTTTAGTTTTGTGACTGTAAATATTTTATTTGATATGTAAAAAAAATGTTGTGAATGAATTAGGAAGTGTACATAAAATACATGTTATTTTAAGAGTAATATTTAATAAAAATAATATAGATTTGATCTTTATTATTAAATTGAATAGTATAATAAATACGCATTCGTATAAAAAGTTTCATTATTGAAGAGTTCAAGCAACCAAAAACAGCACAATATCCTACTATTGCTCTTTGCCATATTAAATTATGTAGGTATCCACTTAATTCAATTAAATATTCACAATACAAAAGTTTAAGCACGCACGGCTAACTTCTTAAAAAACAATTCACACCGTTCGGTCATCGCTGCGGCGCATTCGCGACTGACTCGTCTTGAATGCCCACCGGGTGCCGCGCGAACTCGAGTGTAGGTATGACACGCTTTCCGACCGTTTGTATGAAGATAGAATACTGTATAGATAATATTACCGTGCTAAAAGGTTTATCTTTTCTACATAAAATACCTACACCCTTTGTACAATTGATTTAAAACATTTTATTTTGTTTACAGAAGAAATTGATCGAACAACAACAGTTTTACCATCTGGTCTGTTTTTCCTTGGCACTGCGCTTTTAGTTGTGATAGCTGATAAATTCAAATCCATTTAGTCAAATTAGTAGTCTGTTCGCCTTGTTCAAACATAGTCATAGTCATACCTCTACAAACTTATGAGAAGAGTATTAATTTATTGTCATATTTTTTAGTAATAAAGTTGTCTGTTGTCTCGAAATAAATATGTTATTAAGTAATTACTTCTTTAATTACAATCTTCCTATAGTATTATTTTAATAATCGATAAGTGAAGGAATAAATTTCGTACCCTCTTTGATGCACATAGTGCTCATAGAAAGTGTGACATTAGCATAACAAAGTTTATTAGTCAGTATGAGTTCAAAAGTTTATATTTTTATATAATAATGCGTTAAAAATACGATACCTACTTAATTAAATATACATTACCCATGCGGTATGTACTACCACGGTAATATTATCTATACAGTATTGTGACTCGGACCTGTCCTTGAAATAACTGCCTACGGCCGAGCGGGGCTTATCCACGCGGTAGGGCTACAGTATTTTAATTTCATTTACATAATTGAGTTTCTTTCTAGTTTTGTGATTGTAAATATTTTATTTCATATGTAAAAAAATGTTGTGAATGAATTAGGAAGTGTTACATAAAATACATGTTATTATAAGTGTAATATTTAATAAAAAAAAATATAGATTTGAGACAGAAAAATATTTACGCCTCGACTGAGACGTACGAAAAACTTTATTATTAAATTTAATAGTATAATAAATACGCATTCGTATAAAAAGTTTAATTATTGAAGAGTTCAAGCAACCAAAAACAGCACAATATCGATTATTGCTCTTTGCCATATTAAATTATGTAGGTATCCACTTAATTCAATCAAATATTCACAATACAAAAGTTTAAGCACGCACGGCTAACTGCTTAAAAAACAGTTCACACGTTCGGTCGTCGCTGCGGCGCATTCGCGACTGGATGCCCCCCGGGTGCCGCGCGAACTCGAGTGGCGTAGGTATGACACGCTCTCCGACCGTTTGTATGAAGATAGAATACTGTATAGATAATATTACCGTGGTACTACCATTCGTCCTAGTGTACTACCGTACGTACATACATTTGACACGCATAAAACGACTTAAGAAGACAATAATTAAAGAAAATATGTATCGCTTTACCGAAGAAGCAAAATGTTCGGGATTACTAGTATTTTAAAATGTTAAGAAGCACTATTAGTCTGTTGATAAATTTATGTATAGCGGCGAAGAGAAAATACCTACTTTGGAGGGCTACTTTTAATATAAACCATAAAAAGGCTGAAAAAGGCGATGATTTGAATAGGAAACCAATTATTTTGATGTAGATAAAGGAGATTGCTCAGCTTCCATACATGTTTGGCCTAAAGACCAATAATCATGAAAAATTGTTTCCTAGATTTGAAATTATATATAAATTACTGTAGAAACGAATATTATAGAAGGACACCCCTGAGAACTTCTATAAACCATATGGTTTATACACTGAACATATCAAAATAATAAGAAACAAATAAGTTATATAGTAAACTTGGGAAATCAAGCCAAGTACCGAAGTTATGGATTAGATTCAGGTATATAGAGAATGTAGATTAACAGATAGTTGCCTGTTGGAACGAAGTTCCTTACGGCAGGCTTGGAGCGGATAGGGATTTTGCTGCGCGACCGAACTGAAAAAAATGTGATAGTAAAACCGTAAGAAAAAATCCGTGGAAAAAAGTGCGTGGAATAAAACCGTTAAATGAGACGTGCGCTGGCGCGACAGTGCATACACAAGCGAGTAGTGTATAATACCTTTCTCTTTCTCACTCTTTCTTTTCGTTCTCTCATCCCTTCTCTTTCTATTACCACTCCACCCCGCCAATGCATAGTATATACTCATGAATTCATGGACAAGCACGTGGCGAATACTCACATTATGGCAGGCTTGGAGGGGATAGGGATTTTGCTGCGAACCGAACTGAAAAAAAAGGGATAGTAAAACCGTAAGACAAAATCCGTGGAAAAAAGTGCGTGGAATAAAACCGTTAAATGCGCATTAGCCGAAGGAACTTCGTTCCTACCTGGTGTCCCACGACACCACATCATTACTTTTTTTTAAAGTTAATGCATAAGAGTAACTTTTAAAATCAGGTGTCATTTCCGGTTATAATAAGGTACTCTGTGACAGAAACTGTGTGATGATTGTGAATGAGCACCAGATTAGAGAGAATTTTTAAACTCTCGTTAACCAAAGAAAGCTAAGAGATTTAGGTTCTATAGCCATATATTCTAGTGTCTATCCCCATTCTTATACATAAACTAGAGCATTTTGGGATAAGAGGTACTGAACTCGCTCTATTTAAAAGTTACCTTTCTGAGAGAATGCAAACAGTGCAAGTGGACCTCTACACTAGTCATGAGGCTGCTGTGTCACATGGCGTACCCCAGGGGAGTGTTTTAGGTCCCACACTTTACCTACTTTATATAAATGAGCTCTGTAGTCTGAAAATTAGTAACGCTCAAATATTTTGTTATGCCGATGACACAGCTGTAGTCTTCACTGGAAAAACCTGGGCAGACGTGAGGAAGCATGCTGAAATCGGAATGTCGTTGATTGGAAGTTGGCTAAAGGAAAATCTGTTAACTTTGAATATCGCTAAAACGAATTACATCTGCTTTGGTATCCAGAACCATGCACAGCCAACTGTCGACTTTAAACTAAAATTACACTCTTGTAACCTACCCTTGAAATCGATGCTGTTGGATTGTGATTGCCCTGTTTTGGAAAAGATTGACAAAACTAAGTACTTGGGGGTGGTGGTTGATCAGCGGCTGTCCTGGCATTCTCATATTGATCAAGTTACTACCAGAATTAGGAAACTAATTTGGATATTCAAGACTCTAAGACATGTGGTGCCTGGAGAGCAGTTGGTTGGTCAGGGCTCCTCAAGAAATATTCTTAAAGAAATCTATAAAGCACTGGCAGAGTCAGTCCTTACTTATTGTATCCCTGTATGGGGAGGTGCAACCAAAACAAAAATGTTAGAGTTAGAGCGGGCACAACGGGCTTTGTTGAAAGTTATGCACTTTAAAAATAGAAGATACCCTACAGATGCTTTGTATTCTACCAGTAAAGTCCTGTCTGTTAGAAAGCTGTACATTTTACTCACGGTAATAAAAAAACACAAATTGACAACCTTTGATCCTAGTAAAACATTACGAGCCCTTACCGCCAAATTATCGTAAGCGACACTCGCCAAATTATCGTAAGCGACACTTTTGTCGAAATGCGTTTTTTGTGGAAACTAATATTTTAAACCGTAACGGACCCATCTCTGTTGATATTTCCCTCTATTCTTCCCTCTATTATATTATAACGGTGTTCTTTTGGAGGGAAATATCAACAGAGATGGGTCCGTTACGGTTTAAAATATTAGTTTCCACAAAAAACGCATTTCGACAAAAGTGTCGCTTACGATAATTTGGCGGTAAGGGCTCGATTAAAGAGAAGAAAAAGCTCTGTTGGACTTCCATGAACAAAAACTGCGTTTGGATCCATGCAATATAATTTTCGCTCGGCATATCTATATTATAAAATAAATAAAATCATAGATATACAGGGTGTTACAAAAATACAAATAAAGCTTGAAGGGCGTTGAAGTACATCATATAAGAAGTCTTCTGTAATTTTCTTAAAATATTTGCCTGAAGTTTTTACTTTTTATAAAAAAAGTTATTTTTAATGATCCTCGAACTAGTGACGTGTCTTAAAATGATCGATATTTTTATTAATCATTAAAAATAACTGTTTTTTCAAAAAGTTAAAACTTCATGCAAATATTTTAAGAAAATTAGAGAAGACTCCTTATATGATGTACTTCAATGCCCTTCAAGCTTTATTTGTATTTTTGTAACACCCTGTATATACTAAAACCTCACACGAATGTAAAAAATATATAATAAACTACATGTTTTTTTCCTTACTTTTACCTATTGTAACAAGGCCTCCGTTTCCTCATAATTCAGCTAAGTTATGTAACTTCGCTGAATTATGAGGAAACGGAGGCTTTGTTACAATAGGTAAAAGTAAGGAAAAAAACATATAGCATCACCACCCACTCACACGTACAAATACACACACACACACACATTAAAATACACAAGACTTTCGTATTGTTATTTTTAAACCATGTAAAAATTTAAAGATTTATTATTCTTTGATATATGTGCGTGCATTTGTGAGTCCCTTTTTTTTAACCAAATTGTAATTTTAGTTATGGATGAGCGGAGTCACCTGTCACAGGCATTATTTGCTTAAAAGGTGGCTTCAATCAATCAAAAATCAATGAGTATATAATGTAACTAAACCAATGTTAAAGAAAATAAAATTTATTATTATTATTATTCCTTTATTTCATTAAATATACATACAAAATTATATTTCTAAATATTAGTTTTTTACAGCGTATAACATTAAAAAAATAACATTTAAAAATACAAAAATGTAGTTCCCCATCGGCAGCAAGATCAGGGTCCCCGCTACCGGTGGTTAAGGATCCAGAGACAGGAACCTCCTCACAATACGGGCCGTGTCCAGAAGTACTGCCTTCTGCATCTGACTCTTGACCCAACCACCTAACGCGAGCCTCTTAAGGTGTTTATCGAGGCTCTTGGCTATCAAACCATGGGCAGATATGATTATCGGTACAACAATTGCTGAATCGATGTCCCACATGTCAACAATCTCGCGAGCTAAATCAAGATATTTGTTTTCTTTGTCTTTTTCAGCTTTTACAAGGTTGTCGTCTTGGGGGACAGCGACATCAACAACAGTATTATTGCTATTCGATCAATTTATAATCTTAAAGTTAAAGAATCATTAAGAGATAAGTTTAAAGAATTTGGAATAATGACGGTCGCATCACAATACATATACGAAAATTTATTACTTGTAAGAAAAAATATTATTTTGTTTCTTAAAAACAGTGATGTTCACACAATTAATACAAGAAACAAAAATAAACTAACTTTACCTGCTACTAGGCTTCACAAAATTAATAATTCATTTAAAGGTGTTCGCTTATACAATAAAGTCCCAAGCAATATCGAAGAGTTAGCCATAAATAAATTTAAAGATATTATAAAAAAAAACACTTATTAAAAAAG